GCGCGGCACCCAGCGAAGTCAAGGAGGCAGTATCGAGTCCCGACTGGGAGACTGGCTGACTGACTGACTGGGAGACTGGCTGACTGACTGACTGGGAGACTGGCTGACTGACTCCAGGTTAATTACACCAAAATATTTGTTTTTTTTTTCTGTTGAGTTTCGTCAGTTGTTGATGGTGTCTGACATGACTTATCTTCCTGCCACCCTGACCAAGCCCAGCAGTCAGCAGATGGATGGATTCGCATCTCAGAAACCCGCGATTTTCAGTGGAGTGTGGAGATGCTTGATGTCCACAGCAACAGTGGCAGCAAAGGATATCATTCTGTGCGACGTCGGCGCGGATCACAAAACCCTCTTCATCTACCTCTGGGGAATTCTGCAGGGAAAGCCGCCGTGAGTCCCTCCCGAAACAGAACCCGGAACCCGAAACCTTCACAGCTTCAGCCCCAGGCCCCGATCGTACTGAGGCACCCAGGAAGGCACTTTAGCGGAGGAGATTCAGCCTGCTGAGCCCCCCCCCCCCCTCCACGCCTTCACTATCTCTGACACACACGCCTTCCATGCTTGTCACCCATCTGACACACCCACAGCCAGCCTCTGCACTGTCACTGTCACTCCCACGTGCTTCTGTCAGTGGCACGTGTGCCGTATCTCCCCCCCCCCATCTGCCAGGCCAGAGCGTGACCCTGATACTCACGAGGGCGTCCGTGACGGGCGTGTCCCTGTGCAAAGGGAAGACACATGCTATCAGAGAGGGTCAGAGGTCCGTCAGGGTCCCACGAAACGTGTGTGTGCGTGTGTCTGTATGTGTCTGACAACCCGCCAGGCTGCCGCAGGTGACTCACGTGGAGTCGGGCTCCTTGTCCCTCTTGCCAAGCCCAGGAATCCTAAAGGCTTTGGATCGGATTCTCTTAGCGCCCTCTGGTGCCGGTCCAGAGCTGAACTCCTCGAACCCCACAGGGGCTGAGAGACATATGCAGGGAAACACACAGACACACACAGCAGTGAGAACCTCTACACCAGCACCCTCGTGCAAACACACACTGAGCTCACGTTCACACTACTTTACACTTATCCAGCAGATGTTCAGGGTCAGACAGCCCCAGGAGCACTAGGGGCTTAAGGGCCTCGCTCAGGGGCCCGATGGTGACATCACTCTGTGACCCTCTGTTTACAGACTAACCTGCTGAGTCACAGACTGCCCCCAAAAGACACGCCCTCCCGCCCAGACGGAACTACTTGAGATTATTTGTTGTCTATTTTTATTGTAAGAAGCGACAGATTCCGCTTTCCAGAAGTTCCTTTATGTGTTGTGACACTTCCTCATGAAGACCAAAAACATGTTTGTGCATGCAGATACACAGACACACACACACACACACACACACACACACACACACACAAACAGACACACACACACACTCTCTGACGCCCTCACCTGGCCGGTCCTTGCCTGTGCCCTTGTGCTCTGCAAACCTCTTAATGAGGTTTTCAGTGGCAATATTCTCCACGTTCTGCTTGAACTCCTCGTGGACCTGCGGTGAAAGGGAGCTGTCAGTAAGGACAGACACTCCCGCTCCCCCAGCTGCCCTTTACAGTCATCTATGACTGGGTCACTTCCTTCCCCAGCCAGCAGGGCGGCGTGACAGTCGTACCTGCCCCACCTGCACGTGGGTGTCCTCGATGGAGTGTGAGTACGCCCTGATCAGCAACTTCATCTGCCTCAGGTGGGCCTCCTCGATGTCCTGGAACTTCTGCATACGGAGGGGACAAGGGACAGGCGTCGGTGGGGGCACACGGACACGGACACACACACACACACACACACACACACACACACTACATACAAGTAAACTGGGAAGATGCCAGCCAGCCCAACGCAAAAGCACAGCTGAGGCTGTTTATTTGAACACGGATGTGGGGCTCAAACGCCAAGCAGTGCCTGACAGTGAGACAGCAAACATCGCTCCACTGTGGCTCTCAAACCCGCCTCTTTTAATCACCCACAAGCAGGAATGATGGATGCCAAAAAGCCCACATTTAGACGTAATGACGGGGGTGTCTCGCTGCCAACTTTTTTTTTTATCCCCTTGCCACATAAAAATATCCGAATGCATGCGTAGCGGTGGAGGGTGTCCCTGGAAACAGAAACGGTAACCATGGCAACGCCCACTGCAGGACGGCCCACTCCTGGTCCAGAGCGGAACAGCAGAACGGCGGTTGCAGGGCGGGAAGCGGAGAAGGTATATGGCCCCACAATGCCTGTGTAAGTGTGATGGTGGACAGTGCGTGTGTGCGCACGCACACACACACGTCGCCCCCTACAGTATGGGATGCGCTACTGCGACAAGCTGAAGTGCTCTACAATCTGCCGTGACTAAGTGACAGTGACAGCTGTCACCCCTCCACCCCCACCTGCGCAGACTCCATCATCTTCTGCTCGAAGTCCCCGCCCACGCGGTTGAACTTCTCCACGCTGGAGCTCAGCGACTCCGCCGCCTTCTTCGACTTCAGCTCTGCCTGGGGGAGGGGCATTCACAATCTGAACTTGGGGGCCGCAGTTCCCCCCATCGGCTGCGTCACGAAGGCGGCGCTGTAAGCGGCGGCGGGGGCCTCGATGGCCGGCCTACCTTCTCCAGCTCCTTTTGGGGGGCCCCCTCCCTGCGCAGGCGCTCCAGCTCGGCGGCCCGGCTGCTGTAGCTCTCCTTGCTCTTCTGTAGCTGCGCATTCTGTGCCTGCAGCATCTGCACGGCGTCCAGCGTACCCACCACCTCGTCCTTTGTCTGGGGAGGGGGGTCCGAAAACAAATCTGCTCAGGAAGGGTGGAGGGGGTGCTCTGTTGGAGGAGGGGGGTGGGGGTGAATTTCCGTACCTTGCGGTGAACTTTGACCTGCTCATCCCCATACTTGTTGATGTCGACGATGAGGGAGTTCATCTTCCTCATGAGCTCCAAGTGGCAGAGCGCCAGCTTGTCCGAGGACACCCGGAAGACGTCCCACATGGGGGCAAAGGTCCTGGTGGGGGAGGGAAGGAAGTGGGGGGTGGGGGGGTCATTTCCTCACAATCTCAACATTCGAGCACAAAAAAATCCAAGATCCAAGAGAAACAAAGCAGGGTGGGACGATTTGTGCAGCGGCGACCCGCACTTACCC